GCCACTTGATGATGTAAGTGACTGAGTTGATTAATACTTAATCTAAACTTAGTAGCTGCACATGCAGCAGAAAACTTGGGAACAGGTAGTGAGATGTTTTATGGCTGCTGTACAGAGCCTGTTAAAAACTCTTTGACACTCCTTTTGTTTAAGGGAACGTTTCAAGCTTCGATAGGTTGTGGGAGTGTGGATCAAGCAACCCAGCCATGTCGTTCAAGCTAATAACCTGGCTTCTTTCAAGAAATGGCTTGAAGATCCTTGGAACAGTTATCGATTTACTATCAAATGAGCTAGCTGGGCCAAAATGCCTCCTCTAGATATAAACGTAGTTACTGCTGGTTCTTGCCTTGACCATCTCTGACATTGTGCTTCGGAAGGATGGGTGCCATTTCTTTTTCCCTTCATTCCATCCTATAGCCCCTCTACCCACCTGCTGCCTATGCATGGGTCCTGTTCATCAACTACAGATCAGCATTTAATACAATTATTCCTCTAAAGCTGTTTGATAAACTTCAGGGGCTTGGGCATCAGTTAGTCACTGGGCCGTTGGTTCCTAGATTTGCTGTCTGATAGGAAGCAGGTGGTGAAGATGGGTGACATGCTTTCTAAGTCTATGAATCTGTATACTGGTGCCCCCCAAGGCTGTGTACTGTCACCACCCCTTTATTCGTTATACATTAATGTCTGTAAATATAATAAAATTGGCAGATGACACAACATTAGTAGGTTTAATGACTAACAGTGACGAAACAGCACATAGAAGTGATGTCATTGCTCCGGCCAAGTGGTATAATGAGAAAAATCTGGAGCTTGACATTGGTAAGACCAAAGAGCTGGTGGTGGACTTTCACAAGGGTAGAGGTGATCTACCGCCACTTGTCATTAATGGCTAGTCTGTGGAGGGAGTGGACACCTTTGAGATTCTTGGCACGACTATCTGCCGATTCTTGGCACTGAAGTGGGAAGTTCCCATCATGAAGAAAGCCCATCAAAGAGCTGAGGAAGTTTGGAGTTAATCGGGAAGCAATGAGTCACTTGTATATAATTTTCGTACCCATCTAAAGGGCATCAGGTACCTCAATATGTAGACCTTGGGTATTGCAATTATTTTATGGCAGTAAATATAAGTGGAACAGAATTTGACTAATATGTACTGTGTATGTAAAAGTGAAGTATGTTTTTTGTTGTTTGTATCAGGGCTGCACTGGGACAAATTCTAATCAGCTTTGTTGACGTGGCAATAAGTATTAAATTAACATGAATTAATGCAAGAACGTCATCTTTTCTGAGACATGAATTGGAGGCCATTAAGAAGATATCTGTGAATGTGATGTGAGTGAAATTCAACAGGTTGACTTTGACAGGAGTACATGGATTGCTAGTGTTTCTCTGGAATCATTCTGGATAGTAATGCTGGGTGTTACTAGTCGGGGAATTTCTTGGTGAACCACAGTTCTTGTTGATGCCCATATAGGTGTGGTAATATTTTCTGCTATTTTTAGGGGCCTAAAAAGTGGCCCTTGAAGAATTAACAGCAAATTAATTAATTTGATTAATGAAGAAATGAATTATTATAATAATTATAATTTCCAAACACTGAAGGCAAAAACAAATATCCTATAGATGTACATTTTTTTCAAATATGGTGATTAGCTTGTGTACTGCAGGGAGTTTGCATGCAGTTGAGTAAAGAAGGTACAGTATATCAATTTTTCACGTAAGAGTTTCTATAACTGGCAGCCTACAGAATATTGGTCTGTTGGAGGCCTGACACTTGATGTAATGTATGTGTGTTACTGTAAGTCTTTTCATTACATTGTTTTTAAAGACTAAATTGGATTTTAATTTCAAAGCAAGTTATGTGGTAAAAAAGAATGGCAATTTAAAATGACATGTCTTGTTTTCTTATTGTGTACAGGATCTGGTTTAGTTTCTAGAAGTCTGAATGTCTTTTTTGCTCTGTGTTTTGTCACTCTGTGAGAGGCTAATGCTCATTACTGAGATCAGCATGATGTTCTCCACCTAAAGAACATGTCCTAGCTGTAATTTTTGATTGGGATTTAATGTTGCACAGACCTGTAGTGAAAGTCTTCATTCAGTCTGCTTCTGAAAATATCCAAAGTGAAATATAGTCCCCAGTTACTGGTGAAATCTGTTCGTATTGTGTACTTCTGAATCATCAGATTTAATGTGAAAGGTACCGGATTGTCATTGCATTGTACTTGGTTTGAACCATAATGATTTTGTTTTATCTGTCTCACTTATATGATAAAGCCCATTGAGCCAGGCTGCAGATGTATACTTCTGACAATCTCCTTGTGTCTATATAAAGCTTCTGTAAGGACTAATTAGAATATTTCAATATGTTTTCTTCAGTGTGCATGGCATGGTGAGGGGCCCACCATTTTTAACGCCAGTAGTGAGAATGATTAATGTGTTGTTAAGCAGGGCTGCATTAATCAAATTGGAGGTGAATATCAATGGAGATGACGGCAGCAGCAGGCTACCACTTTGCAATGGGATCTCATTAGATCTCCGAAGCTACGCAAGATCAGGCCAGGTCAGTACTGCTGTGGGAGACCTGCTATAAAAAACATGTAGCTTCTCAGTGTGGTACTGGGGCGCCAGTTGGAGGCACTCACCCATCTGGACCAGAATTTTAAAAGAAAACAATGTCCCAGTATGGTGAATGGAGACTTTATACCAATGTCCTCGATGCATGCTCATGAGAAGATCCCATGGCATTGTTACCAACCCTGGTGTCCTAGCTAAATTCTGTTCTGGTCTTACACAATATAGCCTCTAAAAAGTCCGCCTTTAATTCATTTCACTACGCTACCTGATCCGCTGGGCAGTAGGTCCTCTGGCACATGACTTCCATGTGTTAAATAGGTTTGAGCCGTGCTTTGTTGGTGTTAACAGGGGGTTCCCTCCAATATGTGATGTGCTTTGGGATTCTTTGGGGAAAAAATGCATTATATAAATGCAATTAATTTTTGCATTGCTCTTAACCTAATGAAAGGCAGAAAAGCTGATTTCATAAATGTTCCATTTGCTTTTGAGTATGACAGTGGGAGTCCTTGTAGATGTACTAAAGCAAGAAAACTTGTGATCTGGTAAAAAAAAACATTTTATTCTCAATTAAACATTCAGGCACAAATAAGGCTTTCAGATGTTTTTTAAGATTAAGGCCGTTTTCATATCTTGTCAAATATCACCATTAAATCAAAACTGTTGACCTTGTAGTTATAGTTGCTCTTAATTCCCCCTTTGTTTTCATTTATCTTGCCTGAAATGACCTTCTAGACCAATTTGAAAGAGAAAAATAACACAGCACTCTAAAACTTTTAAAAATGCATCTTTGTTTACATTCCAAACTTGTCAATGTTGCTTTTGTGGTTATAATACATTCAGTATATACATCACAGAATGTTTTCAATAAGAGAACCTTGTTGTCTGCTTTATATAATTTCTGAAAGAAACTTTCGAACTAATAATAAAGGCAGAAGATTTTGTACATTGAAACTTAAAATTTGAACTGACTTCCTTTATAGCACATTGTAAACTATGAAGAAGAAAAATGATCCTAATTATCAGGATCAATAAATAGTTTGTCCTAATTATCTTGTGATTGATGCATCTTCCCCATTATGAGTGATTCCACCGGTGTGTTAACAGACACATTCCTGTCCTGGTTTCCATAGATGGGAATGTCAGGGTCTTCAGCTCAGTGATGAGCAGAGTGACAGCGCTGTTAGACATCAGCCGAAGAGCTGTCTGCTCCATTTCGCCACGTGACCGAGATATCAGTGTGGTGCTTCTCTTGTAGGAACTGACAGGTTGATTAGTTTTGCCCAGGGTTGCCTGTGGCACCACACTAGCAAAGTCTGCCTTTCTCTTCTTAGGCTGTGCAGTATTGTTTTTATACTGGCAACAGTTCAGTCAGTCTGTAAAGAACTGTGTGGATACTAATGTAGCTGTTTGAACTTGATCAGTCTGCATTGATCAATTATATGCAAAAATATCTCTGCTTAGATGGTTTAATTTTCCTTTTTGATACAAGCTTGTTTAAGGTAACAGGAAATTGTACTCATTTGATATCATCTTGAGCCAGATAATGTGGGCTACTATATGCTCTGTGTTTCATGGGGGCAGTTAATTACTATACTCTTCTTTCATAGGTTCAAGGAGAAGTTTGCTTAAAGTTTTCAGCATAAAATTATTTTTTGTTTTGTTTTCAATTAGGTGGTAAGACTGTATAAGCCCAAAGTGTGATTTAGCTACCCTGACTCATAGGAACAGTGTCATAGAATCTTTAATTACTAAGTAGTCAGGTTCTTGGTTTAACATGTCATCAAAAGTCTGTTACCTCAATTTCTCTACTGGGTCAGAGGGAAGTGTTACTGTACATCTTTGTTCCCCAGTACGACTTACAGCAGTAACACCGATTTTCCTTAAATGTCTCTGGTCCCTCTTCTGACGGGACAGAGCATTACCTGAGTAACACTGCTGCCAGTGTGAGCGGAGGTACAACTGATGTCTTTACATCCCATTATATGCACAAACGATCCTATGGAAAGAATAGGATGATGTGGAAAGAATAGGAATATATTTGTAGGTGGGGCTGCACACTGGTGGTGGTGGAGGGGGGGTCCCCATTCCCTGTAAAGCGCTTTGAGTGGAGTGTCCAGAAAAGTGCTATATAAGTGTAAGCAATTATTATTAATTAATTATATTATTATTATTACTGGATTTCTTAAGATGAACTTTTGTTTTCTTCAGGATCCAGGATACTGGTTACAAGTCCATCGTTTGGAACATGGTGATGGAGGCATACTAGATCTTGACGATGTCTTGTGCGATGTTGCTGATGATAAAGACCGGGTGAGTAAGCCAATGGATCTTCCATCCAACAACAGTTTATTAAATGTACATGCACAGATAAATGTTAAGTTTACAGTTACATTAGAAAGTACCTAAGTGGTATTATTAAAATGACCTAGGCTACAAGTTTTGTTTAGCATAGGAAGTGTTAAGTTTCTGCTTTGAATAGAAGGAAATGCTGAAACCACAAAGAAGGATATGTTGAACATTTGTATTTCATTCATAAGTAATGAGAATGTAAGCGTTTAAATAGTCATGATTTAACATGGTGCTGTGAACTTGTCACTTGCAGCTATTAATATGAACAATTCTTTGAGTACTGCATAATGCTATTCCGTCTTTACAGAGTGCATTTAGAAAACCCTAGCTAACTGTCAAGAGCTCTGCTGCTCACAGCTAAAGTTTGCAATATGTGTGCTCATGGAGTCTTGCTTGTTATATTTCCAGAGGTTTAACAGCGTGTTGCCAGCGGGCATCACACACATCATCATTGACTTTTTGCTCTGCAATATGTAACAGAAACATCTAATGTCTCTTGCCCTCATGTAGTATTTATTTCAGAAGGATTAAAGTGGCTGGCCCTGGAATACATTTGCTACGGAGTGCAAAGATATTTGATTCTGCTGGATAATTTGTTCTAGCTCTGGAATCCCATAGAACTGAATGCATGAAGTAACTTTCTAGATGCTCTGTAGTTCTTTGGAGTAACTGCATACTTAAAAAGGGAGTCATCTGAAGAAATTATTCTCCTTTGTGTGCTTTATTATAAAAATATTGATTGCTTCCCCTTTCAAATTTCACCTTTAAAATACCATTGTATGGCTTGGTGCTTTATGGTTCTTAATTGCACTGTTAGAGAAAATCCTTTGTTGAAGTTATCACTGTAGGGCTTTTTTTCCAGGTGACACATTTTGTAATCGGGTGAAGGAGGTACAATTGCACTGTATAATGAGGCTAGTGATGGAACAACGTGTCACGGGACAAAGAGTGAAGTTGAATCATCAGTCTGGAGGAGACCATACATGACATAGCAGAATTATTAAGGCTGACTCATTTTCTTGGTCCACAAGGTCTGCTGTCCTTTGAACTCTAGGCAGTACAGTTAATCAGAAAGGTTGTCTAGTAGTATGTCACTCATGTCCTCCATTAAATAATTTACCTATACTTTATCAAGACCTTCAGTCCACATGCTATATTTGTGGAAAATCATTTTGTTTTCATGACTTTCTAGCTTGGCTGCAAGACCTCAACTAAACCTTGTGTAAAAAAAAAAATCAGTATGTACTATGTTGATTCAGAAATTTGTTCCTGTGTGTGGACATGTGGTTGGTTTTGATTTTTGCTGTCTCAGTGCTTGGAGTGTCAAAGCCAGGACCTGTATTGGCAAACTGGAAGAGTAATGCATTCAGGGTTTAGGGAACGGAAAGTAAGGCTGTCATGATAAAAAATGAGGAACACTGTTCAAGCAGAAATGCTATATATGCAGGTTAGGTCTTCCTTCTAGCAATTTGTTTTAAAAGCATTTGCTCCCATACTCTTTTGGGTTAAGTCCAAAGTGTTAATGTAAAATAGTGTTAATAAATTTCTAATTTGCGTATCTGCACATGAAATGTGAGAATAACAGAGTTAATGTGGGATGCTTTTTGATCAGTTTTCACAGAAAACGGAGGTGGGATTTAGAAATATTTCTTGTAATAAACTGTCTTGGATTGTGTATGAGGATATTGCTAGTGTATAAAATTGTGATCTGTTTCTTTAGATGTTGCTTTAACTCTGGGTGTAGGAGGGAACAGGCACAGCTCTTGACAGTGGAAGAAATTGACAACATACTGCAGAAAACAAGTTATTAAATACTATTAGCATGGAAAAGCGAGAAGCACTTAGTAAAAATCTCTTTGACCTGATGGTATTGTGCCAGTTGTGCTTAAGGAAACAAGATGATGTAACAAAACTCTCCCAGCAGTTGTTTGGGACAGGGATAATACCAATTGACTGGAAGATTGCTTGAGCAATTATATTGTTTAAGTATAATCCATCTATAAAAAGGCTATGTAACTGAACCAAGTTATTATAGACTGTGGAACTGATAATGAAATGTAAACTAGGGCCTAGCGGGTCTAAATTAGAGCACTTACTGTATGGCAGTAAGATTCATTTAAAGTTCTTTGGGTGAGGTGCCCTCATGTGCTAACTCCACAAATCTGTAGTTAAAACGGAGAAAAACAAGGCACTGCTTCACAGCTGTTGGTGTTTGGAACAAGAAACCATGGGTTTCTAGTGCCTAATGATTGAAGATGTTAGATGGGCCGAATGCCTTACACTTTTTTGTAATCTTTATTTTGTACTTATGGGTGCTTGCCAAATGTTCTGTCCCAAGTTCAGCAGGTCTTGCCCCATGATGGTAGGCTTGTTCCTATCTGATTTTATTTATAGTCTCTCATGGCAACATACTTGGGAGGCCTGGGGACAACAGCTGCTGCAAAACTGTTAGTTTAACTACTGCAACACGTTCAGCCCATCCACCCAAGGAGCTGAGAGGGCTTTGTGTGAAGTGCATACCTTGCGTTTATTGACAGGCTTGTGGCATGACTCCAACTCTGGCTTTGGCGATGGAATTTACTAGCTAGCACCTGTAGTGAAACTCAAGGCTAAATAGTAGGCCTTCTATATAAGGAAAATATTAAGATTAAAACGCGGCATAAAAGCTTTAATGTGTACAGTTGTTTAAGGCAGCTCCAACCAGTTTATGAACATTTTGTCTTCCAGCCAGATAGACATCAAAATCACCAGATGGAATTGCTTCCTAACCCTTAGAGTTAAGTGAGCAAGTGATGATTTTGAAATAAATAGACCAGGTCTTTTGCCATAAATGCTATGCGTCTATAAGTAACTAAATTGTTGAAAGAATTAGACATGGAGTTCAATTTTGCCAATACATTACTTGCAATTACTGTAAGAGGTGCTGGTTTTGAAATACCTTAATTGGTTTGTCAAACTTGGATGTTTCTGTAATGAGATATAGAAAAATATTACCTTGCTGTGTAATTTTAATCACCCTGAATGCCATAATTTTCTCTTTTTGATGCATTTAATATGCTGGTGATCTGTTCAGGTGTTTGTTGCGGCTTCTATGAAAGAATCTTCAAAATAATCTTCTAAAAACTGCTCTGGGACACCTTGCTTATCCAATTAAAGAAAAGACCACAGCAAATTGTGCATGCCTGCTGCTTTTTAATGTCGTCTGCTGCTTTTTTAGCTCATAGTTAAAAAAAAGTTGGCAGTATGGTGCATGTAAAAGCCAGCTTAAAAACTATTGACAGGAAATGTTTACTGTAAGAAGTAAGAAACCCAAGTGAATTGTAGTTTACTAAATGAAAAGTAAGTTAAGGGCAACTACTTTCAGGTTCATGACTTGAGAAAATCCCAGTAGGATCTGTAATAGTCCATTCCAGATCATTTCTGTCAGATTACTGCACCATGGGGCTTCGGTGCCAGTTATGGTTTGTGACAGACTGCGCTGCGCGTTTGAAAATCTATTGCCGTGATGGAACAGAACTCTTTAACTGCAGCATGTACATAATTAAAAACACCATAGCCGGCTGTAGACAAGTTTGACAAGGGCAAAGCATCATTTTGACGATGAAACCTCCAGAAAAGCCGTTTCTGTAGTTTGCACAGTGGTACAGAGCTCAATTCATAAGGGGTTGGTCAGTCTGCGGAGAAGGCAGTTTTTCAGCTGTCTACTCAAATCTTCGGGAGATACTAAATTAAAAAAAAAATCTCCACTGAGATCCACTAAGGCATGTATGAGGTCCCTGACTTACAGAGCCCACAGAAGCAGGTTTTGAGTAAATTGTTAATCTGTTGAATGTCGGCCGTGTCAAGGTTATATTCTGGAGCCGCTCCTGATGTCACTGAGAGTATATTGTAATGTCAATCCAGAATCTCAGGTCATGTGTCACGCGGGATTAGTATTCATTTAGTTTCATGCCTTGTGTTAATTCTCATTAGAATATCAGTAAGGCCTCCATAGCTGTGGAGCATTTTGCCAGCTTAAGCAAAAGGAGAGGGCAGGGACTGCGTTGGCCTGGCTCAGGTGTGCGCGCACACTGAGGCGCGATGGGTTGCAATTATCACTCACAGAGCGTTGGAGAAGGGACTCAATAAATCCAGGAAAATAACAAATGATTTTAAGCAGTTGGCCTCTGAATCATTAATTAGCTTAAGACTTTAGCTGCAGCATAAAAAAATTATATAAAAGTATATAAAAACAGTAGCCCTGAACAATTTGATTGGCACTGATATTTGATAGTAGTTATCAGTGAAAAAGGATTTAGAAATGCTGTAAGTAATTTGTGTTCTTTGAATTTAGGCCTTAAAATGGCAGGTTTTAATCTGATAAAACCACATTTGATGCTATTTTAATAGTGTACAGTTACTTGCTTGCTTATTTAATTTGAAAAGATCTTCATTGATTTTGGCTTTTTTGTTTCCTTGCTTTACTCGATATCCCTGCTGGTGCTCTCCAGGCAATTTTTGAATACAGTCCGCAAAAACAAAGGAGGATTTATGAACACGTATATTTTTGCATGTGCTGAACGCTGGTCTTATTCATGCTGTCGACATGTGTTGTTCTCAAGGCCTGTGATGTCAACAGCCAGCGATCTGTCAGTAAGCAGGGGAGCTCTGTGTCAGTACTCTGTGAATGTTTTTCCAGGTGCCCACCTCTCGTTTCTCTTGTTCACTGTCTGGCCTTGACCACATTCCATTCTAAACCATTCAGCATGCAGACAGCATTCATTTGACAAGCGGAAAAATGTAGATAATAATGGAAGCTGTGCTTTCTTCACAAGAAAATTATCATCTGTTTTTGATTTGTCCTTTTATATTGTAAGAAAAGATAGCTTATGTCTGCATTCATTGATCATGTCCTGTATTTATTTAAAGTATCATGGTCTGAGCGGGAGTATTTAGTGACTCCACTAGTAGAGATGGCAGAC